TAACTATTTGACCTCTGCTTCTACATCCATCTTCTCTTTTTTCTAATTTCTGACATATCTTCCTAGTTAATACTGCCCAAACCTGTCTTGATTACTCTCTTCTGTTAAAATATTTTTCTAGAATATGTCTGTCTCTGTATTTCACTAACTTAATGTCTTCAAGTGATTTCTTTATATGTGTCTTATGAGATAACATTGAGTGTTGCTGGGCTGTGCTGCAGCGTCACCCTATGACAGAGGTAGAGTTAGACATGTGTGGGCAGGGTGAAAAGTTGCCCTTCTCACACTGCCTACTTGCCTTAGCAGCCTTAATAGTGTTGTCATACATGAGCTCTCTTTTAACCTTGTACACAAACTGTTCAGATTTAAACTATCTACATAACTCAGAGGGGAATTATCACCAGAACCACTGAGACCAGCACAAAGATGTAATCCACGTCCTCTGACATTTAGCACACCTACACACGGAATAACTCACACACGTGTAGTGGGAATGTGAGAGACCCAGTGCAAATTCTGCCTTGTGCAGACCCAAACTCTGGGCTCTTGTAGATGTTGACATTCAAGCTGCAGCACACTTTACCTCTGTGCAAGTCTTCCTAGACGACCCCACTCTGAGAATGGTAGTCACCGTGTCCAAGGAGTGTCCAACTAAGTGTAATTTTTCTCTGAGTGAGATGAGTCCTGCTGTGGCCCTACCATTCACTGGGAATTGACAGCACAGCCCAGTTGGGGAAACATGCTGGCTGCAAAAGGAGCATGTGGGCAGAGGCTACAGCTCTTACTGTAGCTCTCACTCAATGCCCACATTGAGTGGGCATTGAGTGAAGAACCAGTGAGAGAGGAGAGAGAAGGGCAGAACAGTGAAGAGCTGTGAAAGTGAAATCACTAAGTCTGAATACAAGAATGGGGACAGGACAGTGCCTGAGGAGAAATCCAAGGGGATGCAGATATGGTCAGCAATGGAGGCTTAGGTCATGGGGATACACAGGGTGTTGGTGAATGGGAAGGACAAGGATGGTCTGCATTTGGCCATGTTACAGTTTCATCAGGATAGGGACGGGAGAAAAAAAAGCCAGAGGTTTGAAAGACTGCAAGAGAAAATGAAAGATTTGGGTCTACCCTGGCTGTGTGCGGCAGAAGAAAAGTCACAAGCAAAGAATCCTCCCAGACTAAATTACTTTTTTCAGTAAGAAGTCAGGGTTGTTTCTTAGGCACCCTTGCACAGTAGAGCAGGCAGTCCCGCTAGGGCAAACAACAGACATACTCTGAACACTTACATATTTTATATCTGGTATTGGTGTTTACTGTAGCTGGCATTCCTTACTGCTCTTTGTCAGCCAGGAGGCAGTGACCTGTAAATTAGGAACGTCAAAGCTTGCTGACCACACTATGGTTTCTTTAACATGTGCAGGTGCTAGTGGTTCTCTGCAGGCTCATGGACTCTAGAAACCAGGAGAAAGGTTTGTTTCTAATCTTATTTTCTTCCTAACACCCCTGTACCTGCCCCAGTATTTTCCTGCCAGTAGTGGCAGAAAGAGATAAATTTGTGTTTAAAATGCAGGCAAGAATTCAGAGGCAAAAAATGAGGAAAAAAAAATCATAGAACAGTTTGGGTTGGAAGGTACCTTTGAGTTCATCAAGTTACAACCATCCTTGCCTTGTGCAGGGACAATTTCCACCAGGACAGGTTGGTCCCAGCTTCAACCAACATGTCCTTGGACACTTCTTAAGGATGGGACATCCGCAGTTTCTGTGGCCAGCCTGTGCCAGGGCCTCACCATGCTCACAGTCAAGATTTTTTTCTTAATAGATAAGCTGTATCTCACCTCTTTCACTTTAAAGCCATTCCCCCTTGTCCTGTTGGTATGCGGCTTTGTAAAAAGTCCATCTCAGCTCTCTTTCATTCACTTTAAATACTGGAAGGTGCTATCAGGTTTCCCTGGAGCCTTCTCCAGGCTGAACAACCCAAATTTTCTCAGCTCATCTTCATAGGAATGGTGGCCCAACCCCCTGATCATCCTTGTGGGCCTCCACAGTTCTATTTTGACATGCTGCTCTACTGACTTGTTCAGTTTGTGATAGCTGTTGTTCAATAGTTAGACAAAAGCATAAAATAAAGTTTTTTCTGTTCCCATGGAAAAAAAATATGGTGACATTTTTCTCCATAGAATTTTTAAAGTTTGTCTAAAGCAGGACTTCTTGACAATTTCTCAACAACCTGGGGCTAAACTCTGTTACAGCAATTTATTTGGGATCTGCTTAGTGGATATATTTTAAAAGGTCATATAATAGTGGAATATCTTTCTGGGGCCAGATAGAATTGTCCCCCCAGGCTAGCAGTTGGAGAGTTCTAGCCATACTAAAAAAAAGTGAAATAGAATGCAAATGCTGTGTTCTTACATGTTGAGTTTTAGGAAATGTTTTAGCAGCAAAGAAGGAATTTTCTTACTTTCAAAGTTAATAAAATGCCTTATTTTCCTTTAGGAAAAAGTAATTTATTTTTTATTTAAATTTATTTCCTCAACAAAAATGCCAGCTTCCGTAGACTTAGCAAAACAATTGAAAGGCCTGATTTCCTCTAATCACTTTTTTCTTTACATTGCTTTAAATCAGAAGGTCAGGAGGGTGGGAAGTTTTTGAAAAGCAATGTAATCTACTTGTGATTGTTAGCTACTTGTGCTTCTGTTATTTCTATCCTTCTGGAGCTGGTGGATGTGGAAGCATAGGCAACATATTTGTCTGAGACAAGCAGTCACAGCAGGCACTCAGCTCTATGGAAAACTAGGAGAAATCCAGAGACATCTGGGACTTGACACCTGGGATCACAAACTGACTGGACCTGGGTATTTGTGTCTCAGAAGCAGATATAAGGTGGCCAACATGCACTAGCAGTCTTTAATTCCTTCTTTTGGTTGCCTGTGTGCTTGAGTCATACTTCCAAAGGAACACCTCCCTTTTTCAGCCTTCAATATCCCACAGTTACTTCTGGCGTTCACCCAACAAGCTGATGTTTAGTTTCTCCAAGAAAATTCAAGAAAAGTTTCTGCTAAGGGCCCTCAGCTCCTGCTTAACTCTCAGCCTCGATCTCACAGTACCTCAGAAGCAGCCCCAAATCCTGCCTACAAATGGGGTGTGTTTCGTGTCCTCATGGGGCCTTGTAGCCATGAGCCTTTGAACTGAGTGGGATAAGGCTCACAGCTGCCCAGAAGGCTTCCATTTACTACTTTATGTGGAGAACCAGATCCAGAATTCTTCTAAACATAGATGACAATTTCACTGCCAAAGATCCATTTCTAACCTGTGGATCTCCTTGGAGCATCAGTTTCAGTGTCACCTAGAGCTGGTCTACTCAACTTGTGAAATTTTTATGTATGTATATATATATATATATATATGTGAGTGTGTGTGTATAATTTGTATATAAAAAAGCAGGTGGGCTCTGGATTCACTGGGGCTAATTAATAGTTTCAAGTTCTAATTTGAATTTGCCAGCTTCCTCTGCACACCAGACTCTTTGTCCTTCATTCCTCTAGTGCTGGAAAGTACAGCAACCTAGTGACTCCTAGTGATTGGGAGGGCTGTGTCCCTCTCATCAGGGGTCAGGGTTCCTTCAAACAAAAGGGAAAATAGCCTGTTCAGACCCTCTGTGGATGGGCAGGAGAAACTGTGCACAGAGAAAGGGCACAAAACTCTTGAAGTACTCTCTGACATGCACTGTGGGTAGCAAGGGATGAGGTAAGAGATTTGGGAGGTGAGCTGTTCAGGAGGGGAAAGGGGAAAGCAGCATGGAAAGAAAGCATAATGTGGAGATTTAGAGTGGTTTTAAAATCAAATGAAAACTCCAATGAGTCTTAACTCTGGAAGTTTGCCTGAGAGACAGAATCCAGATCAGCTGCAAGTAACAGGAAAGGAAAAGCAATAGTTTGTTCTGTTGCACTTCCCAGGGAGGGTCTGCAAGAGGTGCAGGATGGCAGAGAAACAAAAATTATAGATCCTAATGGTGGGCAGGTGGCTGTGAGAGATCCCCTGTCCACCAGGTGTGATGGGATTAAATGTGGCAGGGTCTCCATGCTGCCACACTGCCAAAAGGGACCCTTAGGAGCCCCAACTTTGCAAAAGGTGGTATCCCAGTGACAGCCCATACATACATCACTCCGTGGCTGTCGGCTGGCTGAGCCCTCCCACTCTGGCTGTAGCTCAGGGTGTCCCTGCCTGGGGCTCACAGGCAGCTCCAGGCTGTGCTCTTTCTCTGCTCCAGCTGGTGGGGTGGAGCCAGTAGTGGGGCCAGAGCTGTGAGAGCCAGGTACAGCTTTCAAACCCAGCCTCTTAGCCCAGCCTGTCAGCTGAGGCATGGGGTTACCTCGGCCCATCTGTATCTGCTGGGGTGCTGCCTCAGGTCCAGTAGGCCAGAGCATGTCTGAATGTGATCTACCAAGCAGCCAGCATCCCCCAGAAGACCAGGCTCTTAGCAGATGCTCAGCCCTTAGCCCCTTGCAGTCTAATGCATCACAGCTGCAGGAAAGCTGCCCCCACAGCTCTGTCTTCCCTTCAACCCCAGGACCTGTTTATTCTCTGCCTTATGTACAGAAATTCCCCTTCTGCAACATGATCCCTCAGCTGTTCTCATAATTTCAGCTATGCCCAGCCCCTTCCATTTTGCTCCAGTTCTTTAATCTTTTCTGCACCCATCTCCCTTTACAAGTGGGGTATTTTCTGACCCCACCAGTATCTGCAATGCCAAACCTTGTCCTCTAAGCAGCACACACAACTCTGAGCATGAGACAATCAGGAGAGAAAGAAGGAAGGGGGAAAGTATTGACAGGAGTAAATTGAGAGAAATCATAAAGCTTAAGCAGAAAGAAAGCAGTTTGAAAGATAAAGTATTCAGAGAAAGCCCTTTCCTGGATGAATCTAATTGTTTTGTTATCTTTACCCACCAAAGCATTTACTTTGGTTTGTCGCCCGATCCACAAACACTTTCGAGGAGATGACATTACCGAAAGGCAGGAACATCTGCATCAGCTCAGCATCCCCAAACTCCTGGGGCAGATGGTAGATAAACAGGTTACAGCCCTCTGGTCCTATCAAGAGAAAAAGAAGACTAATGAATGAAGAGAAATAGGATATGAGAAATCACATGGTGGAGATTTACTTTAGCATCTTCTCTCTCTGACTGGTGAGCAGTCGCATTAGGAAGCAGCCTGTAGACTCTCAGAGGAATGGACAAATTAGAAGACCAGGAGCTCAAAAAGTCACCTAGAGGCTATGGAAACTTCTATAACTTTTCCAGGACACCAGGATAAAATCTAGGGAGAGAGGAATGCACCAGCACATGTGGCCATGGAAAGAACAGAACAAAGGAGTAAGAACACAGAATGAAAGAATATAGTTCACAGATTTTATTTGTTCCTCATAATCTTATTTAATCTGCAGAGTTTTGGATGACCCACACTATCCCTTGCCTCTTCCCAGTGTCTGCATGTAGAAGTTTCATTGTCCTTTTTGAATCTGTGTGGTGACAATAACATCACACAAATGATGTTAATAAGCAGAAAGATATGCACAAACCCATAGGCTCATCTTGTTTTGTAGAACTTTACTTTCATCCACCCAGCTCAACTCAGCCTGAAGACTCCCTCAGATCTGGACACTTAGGCCATGTCCTCCATTCTGCAGCATTCTGAAGGAGAGACTTTTAAGGTGGATTTAAATCAAAATTACTAGACAAGAGGGATTAGTTTTCTTGCTTCAATCTTGTAACGTATACTCTTACTGATTTCAGGTGTTTTGGAAAATATCCAGAGAGGTGTCTTTAGCTGGAATATGAAACTAAAGTAGAGACCCTCAAAAAATATTCTGTTGAAATTATATTTTGGGGCAGAAGAGGGCAAACCTGCCTCTTGTCAAATAGCCTAGAATATAAATTTTCAAACTGACTTTTACTTTATTTATGCTGTCCTTGAGCAACAGTCAAAAAGGTGTGTCCAATTGGTTTTGTTAAAAAAATTTAAACATTTAAAGCCTTTGCAGTGTTCAAGAGCAGAAAACGGTATAGTTTGATGAGACAGGGATTGTTTTTTCATAATTTTATTTCTAAAGGTACTTCCAGCTGCTGCCCAGCTCTGCACTGACCTCAACAGGTAACTCCAGCTCTGCTTAACTCAGAGGGATTGAGATGAAGGGGATACACTCTGTGCCCTTTGCCAAAAGGGTTAGAGGTCAGATAGAAGGAAGGTTTCCTCCTTCCCCCTAGCCCATGTGCCTACAACCCTGAGACCTGACTCAGTCAACTTTCCCCTTTTTACGTCTGGGGCACAGTGTGGGGAAGGAAAGGGATTTTTAATAATATTGTTTTCTTCATCAGGGCATAATTACAGTGTCATAACACAGCAAATTACAACTTTGCCTTTTCTGTTAGGGAGAGGAGTTAGTCTAGATGCTCCCACCTTTTATTACCCATTACTCATCCCCCCGGCTGGCAAGAGAAGTACGGCGACGTCAGGATTCTGGCAGATGCCCATTTAAAGCTCATTAAAATTCCTGGGCCTCAGCATGATTGAAGTCACAGGCTCTCCACATTTCCTTTTGGATTAATGGAAAATGAAGCCCTAATGAATATTTGCTAAGCACAATTTTCCCCACTAATTTGCTAAAAGGACTGTCATGAAGGAACAGCTGATCCTTTACATCTTGTGCATTTCCTAAAGGTCATGAGGATGGTAACCAGGTTTCTTCCAAATAGGGGGGATAGTGGTATAGTGGGATAATTAACTAATTAGGCACCCGGTCATCTGCTTAGCCAAATTACTTTTGAACCTCAGTGGCCCATAATCAGGCTCTCCTATTTAATGCCAAGCTTTTCCAGCTTCCCCCCACATCCCTTCTGCCTCTTCTTTAGTCTTTTCATTGGGCAACTATCATTTTTCCAATCCTTGCTGCCATCCATTTCCACACAATACAGAGTTATTGGCATAATAAACTAGATATGAAACAGTCTGAAAGTGTTAAACAAACACTAACCCCCTTAGGTGTCTGTTAAAATTGAGAAAATTCTGCCCAGGAGCAGACCACAGCCCAGAATAACAGGGAAAAAATTCATTCCTTCATCTGAACGTGCCCTAGAGCACTTCTGCTGTGGGATTTGAGATCACATTATAATAAAATGAGTAAAATCTTGGCTTTGCTGCAGTTGGTGGCAAAATTCCCACTGACATCACCAGAGCCAGCAGTTTGCACTGTAAAACTAGCCAATTCTTTCAAAAATACCAGCTGCATTTCCTGCGGTCTTGGATGTGTTGTGCATGAGTAGGGATTCTGCCTGTGTGTGTGCTGAAAAACACCTACCAAGCCATAAGGCAGGAGGCACACAACTTTAATTACACCACCTTTAGCCTGGGCTCAAGAAAAGCGCTTAGTTCACCTTGAAATCAACTTTTCCCCACATGACTCAGAGACCAAAAAGAAAAGACCAGGGATGGTATGAAAAAGCAGGGACCATTCTCAAAGACCAGCTTAGCTCTAAAATGTGCCTGGGAAACCTGTACTGTGGCTTCCCCTATTGACCCAGACATTCAAGGCTGAACTCACTTTGTTTCCAGCTACAGAGGGGTTTTTCCTAACTTCCAATGCTGAAAACTTCACTTGCTTCTCAGAAAAAAAAAAACAACAACAAAATAACAAAAAAAACCCAAAAAACCTCCAAAAATTGGTAGTTTGATTTGTTTTGTGACCCTCACATATGAGATTTTTGCCTTTAGAATTTAACAAATAATTTTTTGTTAAATCTGTCTGTGAGCTACCAGTCACAACCAGAGCCCTTGGTAAAGAACTCACAAAACAAGATCTGTCTTCTTCAGCCCTCCTAGCTTTTTTGTGTATGTTTTTGCCTGGTTCAAGTCAATTTGGGTACTACATAGAAGGTTGTGTGTCTGTGTATGGCTGTCTTGTTATATACTTAGGTATATTTTTAAGAAACCAAAGACAAGATCATAAGGAAGAAATTCTTTACTATGAAAGTGGTGAGGGTCTGGAACAGGTTGCCCCATCCCAGGAAGTGTTCAAGCCCAGGGAATATGGAGCTCTGAGCAGCCTGATCAAGTGAAAGTGTCCCTGTCCATGGCAGGTGGTTGGAACTAGAGGGTCTTAAATGTCCCTTCCAGCACAAACGATTTTATGATCCCATTTGTTTTTCATCTCAGAATGCTTTAAAGATCTCAGTCAGTTCTCAGTGCACAAATGCAATGAGTTCTGAGGTGTTTGCTCAGGATACTGGAACAACAGAAAAACCACAGCTGGTATGGAAAAATCTTAATAAAGAGTCCAACTTTCTTTTTGGAGAAAAAGTTCTTGTTTTGGACAGAGATAATGGATTTTTGGAGATCACTATACTTGTCATTCAGGGCTGAAAACAATAATAAAATTATTTATGACAGGCTTTACTTTTGTTTTCAAAAGGGTTGTAGTGTAGCTTGAAATCTAACCCTCATGAAACATCATAAGAAAAAATGAAGTTTCATTTCAACACTGATGTCTGCCATGGCTCTTGGTTTTATGACATGTATACATTTTATGACATATATATGTTTCTCTTCATTTATACACAAGAAGAACAGTTAGCCTTGATTCAGACAAAAAAGCAAGAAAAGCTTTAAGGACTGAACAGTTTATGGATATTCTACAGATTACAGGCAAAGTGTTCTGGATAATGGAAGAACTGTGACTGAGGGCAGAGAACCACATGGTGGGTTTGGCTTGGCTGGATCTGAGCTGAGCCATTGATAAACCATCGCTCTTCCTGTGCTCCTCACACTTGAGCTCATTGTCAGTTTTTTAGCACAGGGACAGCTGCAGATCCAGACTCTCCCTGTCTGCCCACCTTCAACATAAGTGAACTCCATATACCTGGTCTGATATCAGCTACCCATCATTGCATCCCAGAACTGGGAGAAAATGTCATGAGGAAAGGCTATGACAAGGCTTGTTTTCTAACAGTAATTAAAACTGGGCTAATCCACGAGGTTGTATGAAGGCAGACTGCAGTACTTTGGTTAGCTGCACACCTCACCTCTACAGCAAACACTCAGAGGATGAAATTTCATTGCCTCTTCTGCTTGCCCAGAATGTCTGAGCACAGCACAGATAAGAGTTGCAAATTTGTACCAAGAAGTTGTAGTTTGAGAAACTACATCAAGACGAGTAATACAGACTTAAAATTACCTCCAAGTTTTTTGAGGTTGACATGGCCTGAATCAAGATTTTATCTTAAGCTTTGATAGTTTTGGATCAGTTCCACCTTATACACCCTGTCAGCTGCTGGCAGCCTCAGTGCTCATGTGGAAGTAATGACTCATCCCTACAGGAATGTTGCAGCAGGAAAACATCCCCAGGCTTGTTATCCAACTGGGATTCAGTTTAAGAGCTAAGACTGTCATTAGCAATGTGATCACTGGTGTTATTGTGGTGGTAGGTCTGGTTCACTAACAAATCAATGTTTGTGCACATCCTTGCAAACCAAAATACTCTTCTCAGCACTGAGCATTTTTGTTATTTTTGAATTCCCTCTTGCTGTGTTTTCCTGTTAAAGGTTAGAAATTCTTAAATGTCTTGACCCTCTGCTAAAGGGGAGCATTGTGCTTTAGAGAACATTCCTCTAGCAAGAAGCAGAGAAAAGACACAGACTCTCAGCAACTGCAGGAAAATAAGGAACACTGGGAATGGCAACCTGCATTGGATTGGTGGCTCATCTCATATGGCTATTCCCCAGCCATCCTCATTCTCAATGCCAGCTGCTTATAGGAAGGAGCAGAGTTATGAGATAACTTGTCCACTGGGTGACACTCAATCCTAACCCACAGAGACACACCATGCCTTGTGAACACAGGGTCTACAGGCAGAGGGTCTTCAAAGCACACACCACAGCTTTCTCTTGCTTCTAGTGGTTCCTGGCATGGCGCTTTGCTGAACAATGATCTGCTCGCCATTTTGTCCTGTGCTTAATCTAGCCCCAGTAAGTAATAAAAAGCAAAGTCCTTCAGCATGGGGGAAACATCTCTGTAATGATATGATAGGTCTGTGCATCTGTTCTCACAGCAGGGACATGTACTAGAGCTAATCAGGAGCTGGAAGTTGTGTTCCCCAGGAAATTCTGACATAGGAAAAAATTAATTCCAAATTAGATGGAAATGACGACATTTCTAATTTTCTTACAAAATGAGATTTCTCCCCCAAAGTAGTTTTAGATCATCAGAATGTTTTAGTCTGATGGTGTAATCTAGATTCATTTCATTCTGACTGTTACACTGTATTAAAATATTAAATGTAATTACATACATATAATAACACATATAATAGAGAATATGTCTGAATTAGTGATCTAATAGAGGATAAAATTTAAAATGTAACTATTTAAAATGAGAGTTGCTAAGCTGGAGCACCTACTTTAATGTCTCACTCAGGCAAGCATACACCTCCTTCTCATCAAAAGGGAGCAGTCCTACTTGGAGCCATCCAAATGGATTGCCTCTGAGCATTCCACTGCTCCTCACTGACCGTAAAGGAAATATTACATGGCACAGTTTTCTCCCAAGGCATTTACATGCAAAAATGGTAAATTCACCTCTCTTTACTCTTCATGTCTTCTGTGAAGCCATCCAGTCCTGTGGAGTAGATTACCCAGGCAACTCTCATAGTCATTGCAAAGAAATAGGAACTTTAACTACAAGTTTTTTCTCATCCTGATACAGGGATTGTGCTCTGCAAGGTCTGACTGTTATTTCGGATTATTGGTGGAGGCTGAAAGGCTGCAAGGACAGATCAGCTACTCTAAATAACAAGTCCTTGTTTTCCGAACAGCAAGTGTCTGAAATGACATTACTGTCTTTTCATGAAGGGCCACTAGTTCTTTGTTTCCTGTAAAGCTCTTTATTCCAATACAGTTGCATTTTTATCTGCATTCTTGTTGCTTGTCTTGAACAGAAGTTCCCACTGGATGTTTATGGCTATGTTGCTAGCTGGTCTTTCCATGTCCCATGCACACCAGCATGCTTTCTTCCCAGGGGACTGAAGAGATGTCATCAGCAGTTCCCCACATGGATGGTCTACCAGAGTACCGTTAGTGACAGTGACACCATGCCACATATGGAAATGAAGGAAAACTCAGGACCAGGCATTCAAAGCAATTGGGTGTTTAATGGATGCTGTAGGTGCATGAGGAGGGGAACAAATGAGATGGGGATGGCTCGCTGGGGTCACAAAGGAGGACATCACTTTCACTTACCTTCTCTCTGTTGCTGTGGGATCATGGGAGGTGGCTGTGGGAACGCTTGGCTAATCTGGCCATAAGCAGCAGGATAAGCAGCTAAAGGGGAGAGAAAGAGAAAAAAGAAAGGACAGATTTCAGTGCTGGGAAGCAAGGAGCTTTCACTCCAAACAACCACACCAAGCTAGATGTGGGCTTTGCCCCTGCGTTTTGGCTCTGTGAAGGGCCACCTCGTGCAGTCTGAGATGTGGTGTAAGAGCCATGGTTGTGCTCCAGGAGGTGCCATAGGGCCCGAAACACCCTCCCTCCCTCCCTCCAACTCCATCAGCAGTGAGACCCAGGGCACCCATGCAGTGTAAACCGGGGGCTCTGCTGAGACCACTCCCAGCAGAGATGTGCAGCCATTCAATGTGGTGACAGGAACACGTTCACTCACAAGCTCAGTGCAGAAGTGCCTGCGCTGACAGCTGTGCACAGAGCACATGCACAACTTTTCCCCACCTCATCTTGGGCACCCTGATTAACTCCCATGCTCATGAAAATGGTTCACATGTGTGTTTTCCCTTTCATGTGCCCACAGGCTCTATAGACAGAGTTGCGCATACTCTCTCGGATATACATTTTCTTTCATGCCCGTAGAGACTTCCTCTCTCACATACTAATACAGTGGAAACAGTGAGCAGCAATTAAACAATTTTCCCCATCTCAGCTCCCCCACCAAGCAAACAAGGGGAGCCATTCACTACCACAGATGGTAGATGATGTGCCTTGCTGCTAAAAATACAGAGTATGGGTTGCCTGCAAGACCAGAGAGAAGAGGATAGGGGCCATGTGTGTGCAGAGGGGTTAATTAACAGCTCAAAGGGTTGAGTTGCTTCCCATCTATCAAACCTCACAAGCAATAAATGACAATAACTAAAACACCGGCAAATGAAGCCCTACATGGAGAATTAAATTAAGTTTCTAGATACAGCACTGACACGAGATAATAGCCATTCCTCAGCAGGAACCCATGATTGCTCCAGTTACCACAGGAAATAATGACTTTGGGGTGGCAGCTTCCTCACAATGTTGGCCATAGACACCTCGTGATGGGAGGCTGAACATGGCAGGGTCATGGACTGCACCGGGTCACTTTGGCTGGTGTCAGTCCATCAACTGCAAAGGAACTGCTCAGCACACAGGGCAGCTTGAGCGGAGGCTGAACCATGGGGAGCTGTGGTGAAATCTGCTGGGAAGTGCGGGGATGTCTGGGTAGCTCTTAAGCAAGGCTCAGACCTTAGTCAGTGGGGCATGGACAGTAGACACACCCTAAAAAAATGGGTGCGTGCAGGCATTCCATGTCCTGCCAGGCACTAGCCGCAGTGGCTCTGCAGGGTCTGGCTGCCCATCTTCCCTCTTTGCTATAGCACTCAGGAGACCTGTTTTAGAAAGCCGCCTCCAAAGCAGTGGCTCGATTTTGCTCTTGTGCACTGTGGACCCGACTCAGTTCTACTGATGAAGCTTCACTGGGGTGCAGGTCAGTGGGAGCCTTTTCATGGGAAAGGTAGGAGGTTGCATCCTTTGGGAGAGAACACCCTGGATGTCTTGATGTTTGTGGAAATTGAATCAGGGAGTCTGTGCCCCCCCACAGCTTGTCCCTGTACCAGTAAATCTTCCCTTCCCTCAGCCCCCTGGGGTGTGTTCAGAGGGTAATGGCTTTAGAGAAGGAAAAGGTTTATTGGGAGAAAGTGTTAATACTAACGACCTGCGTACTGCTGCACTCCAGCGTAGGCTTGCTGCAAGGGGTCTGCTGCAGTGGGGCTCTGTGCTGTGGAGACACAAAAGAGACAAGGAATTAAGGGGTTAAAACATGATAGGCACTCTCCCCTTATCTTTTATCATCAATATGTGTTATGAAACAGACAGACCCAGGGGCTGAGGGTTGAAGAGGAAAAGCTCACTTGCTCTATGGACAGGAATGCAGAGAACCCCCCAGGATGGCTAAGAGGGTTCTGTCTCCCAGCCATCACCCTGTGAGACATTGGAGCAGAGGACAAATAAACCTCTCTCCTCATTTCCCAAGCTTAGATTATGGATCTGCACTGATCATGCAGATATTTTGGCACTAATAAACCCCAAAGAACCCTCATCTTAAGCCAGGACTAACACTGTGCTAGGTGCTGTGCAAACTCAGATCTCAGTGACAGCTACAGTCACATGAAACTTTCAATCAGAGCAGAAAACAACAGGGGCATAGCAGGAGGAAGGAGAAGAGAACAAAGCAATGGCTCCTGTCATCCCCACATCCCTTCGAAGGACTGTGTTGCTGCCAGGCAGCCCCCAGTGAGAGAGAAGAAGCTGCATGGAGGGGAGGGGGACACCACTTGTCTGCTCCAGGGAGGATGCTGTGAATCTCTGCATAAGGCATGCAGTCTCTTGCTGGCTTCAAAGTGTATTTTCTCTCTTTACAAGTGTGCATTCCTCCCCACTAAAACTGTTTATTTTTGTGAAACTTTGAAGTCTTGCTCAAAAACAACCAAAGCTAGTTAAGAATTTTTTTCTTTTTTTTCCTTTGGTTGATAGGGAAAAAAAAAAAAAAAAAAGAGAGAGAGAAATGTGTTGGATAAGCTCATTCTTTATCTGCATCAATAAAAAATTTAAAACAAAGCTTGGCCAAACCTCCAGTCCAAATGTCACCTTGGCCCTAATATTTCACTCTTATAATGAGTTTAATTTGTATTTATTGGGACTGCACAGTTCTACATTTATGCAGTCCGTCCAACCTATTCCTTGTAGGATGATCCCTTAGGGAACTGCCACTTTCCCACATCCATCCCACCTTTTTTCCTTCTTACCCGCACAGAGGTGTGGCTGGAGGCAAGGCTTGGAGGATGCAAAGGTGGGGGCCTCTTGGAAGGAAATCTGGTGCCATACACCTATCCAAGGAAAGACACTGACTGTATGGCAAAGTGTGGGGGAGGTTGTCATACGTGAGTATCACATACCCAAGGAACATGGATAAAGTGTTTTCTTACAAATAGAAATACCAGCTTGAAACTTAACTTTAAAGATCACCATTGGTCATGATGGAAACTTGCAAGGTCTTGCACTTTTCTCCCAAAATACAAGGAGGAATGGTGAAAGGACCAAATTTGAGGTGGCAAACCCAATCAGCTAGCTAAGGCTTGGAAGCTCCTGTTCATTATGGATATGACTGGATCATGTGGACTTTGAGGCTGGGATAGTCATAGGAAGAAATAATGGGATTGCAGTCTTAGCTTGGAATGGTTTCCTAGCTGACTTTTGGCAAGTCCCTCAATATATGTGTATGTAAAATGGAAAAGCACTGTCTTACTGTAAGGATTTTCATTTTTCACAAAACAGTGTGAGGAGAATACATTAAAACCTGTGGGAGGTCAGTGGCAGGCAGACTAGAGATTCTACACTACATTTTTAAAGAGTAGTTGTTCCAGGAAAATAATGGAGGTAATGTTTGGAAAATACAATTTTCTTTTTACATACTACTTTCTCCTTGAAGAAGAAACCAACCTCTAAAACAGTTTTAATCTCTTCTTAAAAATATTTTCCTCAAAAATCAGAATACTGATCATATTGCTCCACAAGAAACCTGAAAGCTATGAAAAGTTGAGTAATACATCAGTTTCCTCACCCCTTTAGGAGAATGGATCATAATAACTTAGACCTTTCAAGTCCTGTCAGGTGTCCTGAGAAAGGTGAGGAAACCTTTGGTGAGAGAAGCAAATCTTTTTCAACTATGATTCTGCGGACTGCAGTGAAGGAGAGGATCTGCCATCTCTGCCCCAAAGGCAACTGTGCTTCTTTCATTGCAAGGAGGAAGAAATTGTCTCTGATGCTCAGGATATGCATTTACAGTATTTCCTTCCTCCTGAGATGAGGCTGATTTGGACTCAATTATTCTCCTCCCTGATCTGCTGATAATTAACAATGGCTGGCACTTCACTGATACAAGAGAACGCACTAAGCAGGACCTGTCCTGTGGTCCTTTTCTTTATTCCTTGCCCTGTCTGGGCACATGTGGGAGCTTCCTGACCTTCCAGCTATAGCTGAGTCTATCACCTGGACATGGTCATCTGGCTCACTGCTAATAGGAGCTGCTCTGCTTATTCTGTGGATATCTCACCTGCCTTTGGAACCATACTTTGACCATCAGAACTAGGGTATTCTGCTTTGGAAATATATGCTGAGAACCCTCCACCTTTAAGATTAAATATTAGAGCTGGGTAAATAATTTATTTAAATTGTTTGGGATAACAAGCCATGAAATGCAGCCTTTCTGCCTTCCACACTAAAGCTTTCAGAGTTTATTATTTTCCCAAGTATTTATGACTTGCCACCATGGATAATATCTAAGTGTTTGGGGTAAAATCTGAGTGTATAGGGTAATATTTGAGTGTTTCTCACAAGGCTGCTTTGTGATCCAGGTCATGCATGGGCTTTCCTCTTGGCTCACAGCACATGCAAGCCAGTTGGAAGGTTACAGTTAGCTTTTCTCCAACCTGGAAATCCCTTCTTCATAGGAAAAGAATATGCTAACTATCAGTTATAACACACAGGGACCTAACTGACCTGACCATCACTGGACACTCTTGGAAGGAGAGTTGAAAGCATCTCTGGGCAGGCAGCAACTCCTGGCTTGTGGCTCTGTATTACTAGTAGTCTCATATCTTTCCTTGGCCATTTGGGAAAAGCCAAGGTTGTGCTGAGTCACAACCAGCAGGAATTTTACTTGGCACCTCTTAAAAGTGACGACCTCTGCTCACTGAAGGACTTGCCTTCCTTAGCTTGAAGACTGTTTACTCAGCAAATGAGGATGTGACTTCAGCATAGTGGACATGTCCGTGCTGGCCAACATGGCCTACGAAGAGGCAGGGACACAGACTTCAGGGCTGGCTGGACACTCTTGCAGGAAGCCAAGGCATCTTGGGCAGCCATGGGCACATTTTCATGCTGCTGCTCACCCTGCTAGATTTATTCTGATACTAGGATGAATCAGACCTAGCGGAGAGCAAAACTGCCTGTGCTCCTGGCTGTAGCATGGATGAAGCCAACAGCTGGTATTGATCCAGAATCTCAAGACACAGATCAGACATTTGAGGAAGTTGTGGCCATGCTGTGTTCTGTAAAGTGACAGCCCTCTTACATATTAATGACCTATGAGGAGTTCATCAAGGGCTCACAATTCAGTCAACCTACCACAGGGGTTAGGTGTGGCTGTAGCCCACTACTTGCTAAAATTCAAAGTGATTGGAAGTTATGAGTATTTTCTGTATCTCAGCACAAGAAGACCATCAGTTAGGGTTGCTTTGTTCCTCCATAAGGTACACATAACTTCACAGGGTGGCCTTCACATAGATCATTAGTGGGAGAGCTAGCCTGCCTCAGTCACCCTTTCTCCCCATCCAGCTTACCATTCTTAGCTACTGAAAATATTAGTTGGACACAAACATACAGGGCTGGAAAAACACCTCGGCTCCTCTGTGTGCTGTCTGTGCCAGGGTGCAAGCCCACAGTGGCACACAAGGTAAGTAGGTGTATAAGGGCTGATAGGATATATAGATGAGAGACATGGATATCACAGAGCACCTTACAGCAGCTTTTGGACCAACACCAGTATGTCTCTAAGTTGTATTATCATCCAAAGACCTTGGATGTGCTGACTCTGTGCAAATGTGCCTAGGGAGAACATCTGAAACAGATTTCCTTGTGTTCAGACCTATGGAGGTGTCATGTCCAACATAAAGACATTTCCAAGATTAAAGGTGTTGTAATGTAAATGTTGAGGATCTGCTGGTGGAGGGGAAAAAAAGCAGAGAGGCTCCTGAGAGGCCAGAGGAGAACTATCAATCATATCAGCCCCACTGAAATCTCTGTGGCCTTGCTGTTTTCCAGGAGCTGAGGATCTGGCCTTGCCAGGGCAAACTAAAGGTGTACCATGAAAACAGATGCTAATAGTAACTTCATTTGGCAGCTCAGGGCAAGAGCCTTATCCCTGGACATCTCTTCTATATTAATTTGATAATTTCCATATCTCCAAGGGAAAAATCCTGCTCAGATACAATTGTCTCTTTGCAAGACAGTCCTGGCCAAGATGCCACAAGGTGACCATGGCAGATAACCTTCCATAAACCTGGAGACATAAAACAAGCCAATGACCTACTATATGGCCATAAATATAAATTTAATGAAGGCAGCACTTATTCATTAGGCAGAAGTCAAGAAATAACTCCCAAGTCCTTCAAAGAAAGTAGTCCTTTAATGTCACTTTCCAAATCCTCTGCCTGATGCCAAAAACTGAGGATGATTTCCCAAGTCAGCATGAAATACAAGTGCTTTAAAATTAACACCAGGAAACTTTCTTAATCCTGATATATCTCTAGATTGAAATCCAACTTTTTAAAGGGGCTTTCAGTTAGTGTTGGGCCTAACATTTAGCTTTTGTCAGAGAATGAATGGATGGGAGGTGGCAGAATGAAGCATGTTGTTAAAAATATATAAAATTGGTTGAAGTGATATTCTATAAAGAATCCTTCCTGAGGTGCCAGTAGCCTGACTCCAAGACAAGGTGCTATATGGGTGCCCCAGGTGAAACTGGTTGTAGGAGATAGAGGGCTGGAGTCTTCTGTGGTATTCAGGGGTGTAAATCAGGAGGATCTGCATAGAAGCAAGTGGGCTGGTGAGGAAAAAGGATGATGGTTACAGCCTGAGCCAGCAAAAGAGGCATTCAAATGTTCTCAGTGGACTATGGGACAGCCTCCTTATCCCAGCTCAGGTAAGAGAAAGCCAAAGTGGTCTGCTCTCTGAAACCAGAGGAGTCCGGTGCTTCTGAAAGACAAAAGCAAAGCCTGGCACATTTTCAGCCCCTAAGATATTTTGTGATTTCAGTTTGGTGGAAGGAGTGATCTTACTCCTATGTGATATTGTCTCCACTCCTTGCTTCAGAATATCTGTGCATTCCTGACATGCTCAATTCCATCTATTTCACTCTATTTTGCACAGATGCTTCCTATTTAGGTCTGGAACATTATGAGCTGGATCCTCAGCTTTGTGCTCTGCCCCACCTATTCATTCCTCTGACTGTCCTCGAGGTATTCTACATCTCTCTCAGGAGCTGCAGCTTGGCCACAATTCCCTTTGGGAAGGTGGATGGGGGAGGAGAGCAATCAAAGAGAGGCAGTGCTCTTCAGTCAGTGTGGAGGGTAATAACATAATGATAGGAAAAAAAATCTATGTGAAGGCCAGGATTAAAATAAATAAATAACTGAGTGGGAGGGCTCTATTCACCTTCTCCTTAAATCCAATTTAAATCACTCTCTACAGCCCTAATCTATATCCATAATTACATCATTTCATACAACAAGCTTGCGAGAGGTCTTAAGAAATTTATGTAGATTAAAATTCATGGGTGCCATAGTACAGATTCCATATTATTAAGATTGATTAGGACAGCTGATGCTGTGATTAAAGAAGCTAGCGCTTACTGTTGTAATTAATTAGGTATTCAGACACAACAATAACTGCAATAACAGAAAGAATGTGCTGATCTGGCAGAAAACAGAGGCTGTTCCTGTGTTTTATAGTCTCGTTTTGCCATTTAGGTGTGGACACCACTCATTTAAAGACATGCTGTCCCTTTGTTTCTTCTCTTACACATCAAAACAGCAAAGAAATCCAGGGGTTTTGTACCCTCTGCTTCACCCTGTTAGTAGGAAAAGGTCCTTTTAGTAGCATTCCCACCTATTGTATGTGCTCACTTGGGACAACATATGAATCTTCTATAAAATTCATATAGTTCTATCATGGAAACCAGGATTATCTATATTATTTTCTTAGTAGTCCCACCTCCAAGTCCCAGCCCTAATCAGATTCCTTCTGAGATAGATGCTGAGTGAAAATA